ATAACCAATTATTTGTATTTCCAAATCCTCGAATTTCCTTAACAGTTACATATAATGATATCTATCATAACAAATTTAACACATTATATACAATTGTAAATTCGTTCCAAATTCCATCAATACGATCATGACAGCAATCATGTTCACAGTAGTAATGAAATCTCAGAATGCTTCGAATAATATGGATAATATATTCATAAAAATTTTCCATAATATTTAAACTTTTATGAGTTGCTGTATTAGCAATATTTGTGCATACTAGTTGTTATATGTTTGTATACTGCCACTAACATAGACAATATGTTTACAATACTCTTCCAAATGCAAACAATATCGAAAGGCAAATAGACTTGTCACATTTTCTAATATATTCAGATAGCATAAGTTATATCATTCCTTTCGTTAACTTACGATTTGTTTAAGAATCGTCAGATAAATTATTTTATAATTTTGATATGAGAGGCTTGTAGCTACTTTCCTATTTAATTATATGTATATGTATTATGATCTTTGCTGAATTAAGCGTTATGTAGTTTTCCTGTGTAATAATTGTTTATATAATATTCTTTAAACTTACGAGTTCAATACTTCTTTGTCCATGGAGCAGCCTAGTGCCTCTAATATGACTTTCTTCTCCGAAGCAAAGTCTGTCTTCAAATATTGATCCCATAGGAATTCCCACTCTGCTAGAGATCCACTTCTTATGGCAGTACAATAAACAGCTGTCCTGGCATTTGGTGAAATTCTGAAAGTTATATCCCAAATGAAATAGGTTTCCCTATTTTTCTACCGATGTAATTAAATAGTTTCTATATATTAATTTATTTTATAATGTATGCATATCATAATGTATACTTTATAATCTATAACCTAGCTTATTTCACAATTTAGATTTATCGTGATGATATTTTATATCATTTTAGCACGTCCAGAGGTTGATAAACGAATTTCATCAACACGAAGTATTGTATAATCGCATATATAAAATAATACTTATCAAACAATGTACTCTGTGAAATGTCTAGAAATTTTCTAGAAAGAGATTCAAATAAACATTAAAAAATAGCAGAAATAACTGCAGAATTTTACGACTTTTAAAATATTTCTTATAAGAGTAATAAATAATTGTAGAGTCTATATTTAATAAAGCTTCTCTTCAATATTATACATCGTTAATACATTGCTTTAATTTACTATAATATAGATATATATATTTTTAATGTAATTTTATAATGTTATTGAAATATTAAAATCTATTTGTTGCAATTTTTTATCAAATTTTATTAAATCTATTAGAATGTCCAATTGAATTATTTATTCTAGAATTTAATTATTTGTATAAAAATTTAAAAGTAAATTGTCTTTTTAATTAGAAATATAGGCTTTTGATTTGAACGCGTGTGATCAATACATAATCCTATTTTGTATTTCTATTATAATTTTTCAATGAAGCATTACATGGCCTACGCTTAGATAAATACTTTTATTTGATTCTATTCATTTATACATGTACAAAGCTTGACTGCTGAATCGTGGGACACAGTGTCTAATTATTTATCGACTAAGGCGGTCTTTAATATAATGATATCATTCAGATGTCATCATTCAGTCGTCATTCAGATATCGTATTAGCCTATTAATTGAATACATGGAAAGACAAAAACATTATTAATTCATATATTTAAGATGTAGAAATAAAAAGAACAAAATTTTGAAAACAGAATGAGAAAATATAAGATTTCGTTAAGAACTTGGTATTATCTATGTGTACTAGATTGCAGGTAGTTGTGTATTCGCCGAAAACAAGAAAAATAAAGGAGAGAAACAAAATAACTATAATGCAAACATTATGTTTTACAAATTAATAATTAGTTTTGTCGCATAATAATAAATATTAGATATTATCCACATTGTTACTCTTAGCACTGAATACGTTTAACATTCCTACCTCTAACACTATTTCAAGCTACCATCTTTTCTTTCTGAACATGGCTTTTTTCCGGAAGCTTTAAACAGTGTTAGAGAAAGCAGTGTCAAATGTATCACTGCTAACTGTAATGGTATGAATAGTAACAATCCAAGCCGTGGAAACCTCAGGATTCTCAAACTTAGATAATAGATAACTTTTTCATATTATGATAAAAAAAGAATTTATCACCTCGCGATCAGATTTTTAAAAATATGAGCATAAATAAATAAATATATATATATTTATATAATAAGTTTGAATAATAAATATATATATATTTTTATTTATATTTATTACATTTATTATAAAAAATATACTTATTTATTTATTTATTTATTATATATATAGTAATAAAATAATATTTCTTCTTTTATTTCTATATTTCGGTTGTACGGATATTGTTGTCTCTCCCTATATGATAAAAATAAAAATAATCTGTCAATAAGAATAAATCTTACGTATATGTATCATTTCCGCGCCACTTGGCGAAAAGGTGGATAGACTTATCCACACACTCTGTATGATTCAGTTTACACATCCAAGATAGGATCAAATCTTTGTTCAACTGATCCATGCGGAATTCTTCTTCATTATTGTCTTCGAAGTCGAGCTTTTCAAATCTGCCAGCTGCCAATAGCCTAATGTACTCTTTCAGCATACTTTCTCCATGATTTCCTTGATATCGTTGCAGAAGGAAATTCATTCCACTGAAAAATGCCTTCCAAGGTATGTAATCTTGTTCTTTTAGCAGATAGGTTGTCCCATTCAACGCGAGGCCATAGGTGATCCAATCAGCTCGTGCCAGATTCAAGAGATCATCGATAATTTGAGCCCGATTGGTCACATGTATCAGTGTATGATTAGCGCTCTTTAAGGCATTGATCAGACGATTCCATGATTTACTATCATAATTCACTCGATAGTAACCACTCTGCTGAATATTCAAAATAAACCATTCTTCCTGAGAATTGTATGGAATGGTTATTGGAAATCCTTGTAACCAAATATCGGCCGTAGTAACCGAAAAATTCAGTTTAGAAGCGGTTGTCATCGTAATGGGTATCCAGAATTCCTCGAAAATTTCTGGCGTAAAGAAATTTTTCTGCAAAAATTATTTCCAAAAGGTGTTTGATCTTTGGTATCTACTAGTTACCCAGAATTCATATGTAGTATATGAAAAAGATCATAACAAAAACGACCTTTGTCCACGTTTGTCTTTCTCCAGGAAAGCAAAAAAGATACTCCAGTGTCTTTTACTTTTGTGCGATGTACGCCAATTATTTTTAACAAAAAATATTTATCACATCATGAATTACTATAAGTGGCATTATCGCTCAAGAGTATGCGAATATTTTCATAATTCTAACAGAATATAATTTAATTAAAATATCATAAGTATAATTATTTTATTGATTTCAAATAGCTAATAGGTATGGAATGAAATAATTTCACGTGCAAAAGTGAAGCAGATTATGGCATAATTTTTCAACAAAATCTGTAAGAAAATATTCCAGCGGAACTATTTAACCTCAAACTGTCTATATATCATATACTTTATGCTGAGCAAGAAAATATCAAAAATGAAAAAATGATTCAAATAACTTTATAATAGGATCATTTGAGTCAGCGAAGAGATATTAACAACAAAATAATTTCTAAAAATTAGGTAATTTTCACGTGTTACTGAATTATGTTAATTACAATTAAGGATATTAACAGTATTTGAACAAACTTCTTACTTTTTGATGAGTACCTAGAAGTTATAACCTCGTAGAAAACTTGGCTACTTATCACGGCCCTAATAACAATAATATGTATAACAATATACAATACAATACTATACTAATAACGATATGTAGTATCGTGAAAAGATTGTCTAAGAAATACCCGACGAAATATAAACAGTGTTGCGAGAAAGCGTAAGTGCCGACAGGCCGAAAGGGTCGGGAAACTTCAATAGATTAAGCGGCCCATCAATATGTCCTCAGTCCTTCAGTCAAATAGTTACGCGGAAGAAGGCGTACGTGACCATGATCGCGGACGGTTATGGAATACGTACGTGGTGAGGATATGAGAAGACGGGGGGATGATAAAGGAATGCTTAAGGGAGAAAGACGATTAATCGTCAGTCGTTAATGGAGAGTCTAATTGCGAGGAGTTAGTTTTGAGTCGAGAGAAAGGTATGAGTTGTGAATTATCAATTTAGATGTCTTAGTTATATCACATTACTGCATTAAGATCGCGTCAAATAACCATTGTTGCCTGTTTAATCCACTGTAAATAAATCCATCTATTAATAAATTTATCATATGGAGTAGAAATCACTGGAAATCCTAATTTCTAATATTTCTGATAATGATCCTATAAATGTAGCAGTACTAATAATAATATATAGTTTGTTTTTAAATATAAATCGCCCAAAAATTATTCATGACTGAATTTGTTCAATTACAAGGCAAGTTACTTAGTGTTAGTATGTCTTAAATAACTTTACTTTATACTGATCGGAATGTGCGACAAACGTAGATAAGACAAGGATTAATTGTATTATACAAACAATTAATGAAATTATAGTGTTATATTTTATTATCACCTCAAAGTGGGAAGTGAGCGTCAATTCAAGTGCGAACATATGAAGTGTATTTAAGGTATTATTAAATAAATTAAAAGTAAAGGACGTGAAAGTGAGAATAGAGTTAAAGAGATAGAAATAAGAGATAGAATTGGCAGAAAAGGAAAAAGTTTAGGAAGAAGGTTAAGTGTGAAAAAAGGTGAAGATATAGAGAAATGGCAGGAAGAGAAGGGACACAAGGTTGCTAAAAAGGGATCAGATGGCCGTAGGAAGAGAACAGGAGGTTGATAAGGAGGGAACGGTAAAGAGAAAAATCTGGTTAGAATAGAACAGAAAATAACGGTAGAAAAGAGGAATATTTAACGAAGATAGACGGGGTGAAGGCAGAGAGGAGAGGATACATTAGGAGATCAAGGAGAAAAAAGTGTGGGAGCAAAAGGAAAGAAATGTGAGAGGGGTGAAGGAACAAAAGAAAAAGAGATCACGTTAGTATTAGTGGAAATGAGAAAAGAGATGAGAAAGATGAGAGAAATGGGGAGAAAGTAGAGAGAGGAAATAGAAAGGTAACTGAAATAAAGAGAAGATATCTGGGAAAAGGACAATTACATGGAAGAATTGGTTCCTTGGAAAAGGCAGTAGAAATAATGCTAAGAATATTAGAGGAAGGAAAGGAAGATGTAGATTCTAAGATAATAAAAAATATAGGAAGAAGAATACAGGGAGAAGCAAGAAATAGAGCAGAATAAGTAAAGATAAAAGATATGGGGAGAGTGATAGAAATACAAAACAGTAGGGAAAGAGAGAGAAAATAACCTAGAGAGAGAAAAAATAAATATAGATGAAAGAGATAACAAAGAAATAAAAGAAGAAATAGGGAAATTTGTAGATAAGGATCTAAAGGTAGCTTGTAAATTAGAGCGGGCGAAAGCGATAGAAAAAGAGAAGGAGATGATAATTGCAAGAGTAGAAAAAGAAGAGGAGCAGAAAAAGATGTTAACGAATAAGAAGTACCAGTAGCGGAAATTTACTTAAGATTTGAAATACCTTGATATTTATGAAAAGTTTTCTGATAAAGTACAACTCCGTTTGTATAACTTGTTGAGGGACAAATTGATTTATATAACCAGGTCGTTCACAAAAGCCCGCCTATGTTTCTCTGCCATTATTAGAATAGGAGTTCATGTTTATATAAGAAGATTCCAAGAAACACTTACATAATAATACATAAATACATAATAATGTTGCAAACTTCAATAATTATTTACAGGTGAATACTCCCCGCCGATTTTGATGTCCTTGAGATACGGGGATAATTCTAAACAACTTTCCTTATAACATACAGGATGTTCGGCTACAGATGTAAAAATTTTAAGGGCTGATTCTTGAAGCTAAAATAAAAATCAAGAATACAAAAATTGCGTATCCGGCTTTTAGTTATTGGCAATTAAAAATCAATCGAAATATCCCTGTGCGCTAGCGAATTTTCTTACGCGAATGAAAGTAGGCCAACCTGATCAGTCGGGTGTGCAGATATCCTTAAATCGAACGATAAATGGGCAGTAGCATATCTCGTACAAATCGCAGGAAAGTAAATTGTTTTTGAATTCATACATCATCCGGTCCGCGAGTGTCATTGAAAAATGGCATTTAAGTGTCAGTTTAGAGTAGCATTTTAAGTGTCGAGACTGTTCACAGAAAAGTCGTAACGAAAATGGCATTCTAGACATTTTATATTACAGTAAATGTTCAATGTAGTTAAAATCCGATGGACTGATGATGGAGATAAACATGTGGCGGCACTCGGCGACAATGTATATCGCCGAAGTGCCTAATAAGCCATCGGTATCCCAACAGTCCTTCCGCCGAATGTTATAGAAGAAGGCGTGCGTGGCAACGGTCGTAGACGCCTAACAAACGCGTGGATAGTGGGGATATTGAGGAGTGACAAAGAGAAAAGAAACAAATCCGATAGGAAGTCAAATTGTAAGAACTTCAGTCTTGGAAAGTCACGGCTGGAGTTCAGAAGCAAATCGTAATTAGTATAAACCAAGTGTTCAAAAATAAGTTCTCTTCTTATTTTTCTATATTTTATTTTTCTTTTCATCGGAGATTTCCTTTTTTTTATTTTACGTGACACACTACACGCTCAAATCATTTGCGTTGAAATTAAATAAAAAAGATTAAAACGATAATAAAGAATACAAAAATAAAGGAAATAAAAGAGTTCAAAGACCTAAAAATGGAAAGGACTAAAAAAATGTACAGCAGAATAACTTAAACCTATACTAAATCTAGAATTAACTCTAACTTTATGTTTATACAATTGTCATAACGTTTCTCTTTGGCTCTCGGAAAGATTCTATCCTTCTACGACTATTTTACTCTCTTATCAAATTTCTAAAATCGCTAAAACATGTTACGTAACAAGGTAGTAGTGAAGAGTTCCTACAGAAAAAAAATTTACGATATTCTACGTTGACGTCACACGCTCAGGAACAGTAACAGGGTAGGCAAAACATCCTGCATGCCACAGCCATCGAAACAATAACCAGATAGTAACAGAATAGCCGCATCTGATAAACACCCGACGATAAACCCCCCCCCCCCCCCCGCCCCCCAC